TGATAGAGACTGGTGAAACTCCTGAAACTATGGCCCTTAGTCACCCTTTGGGCATGGAATTGAACTCATTCTGATGGCTTCAAAAGAATTGATAGCCCTACAAGGTGAGCAATTACGCCAGGTAGATACACTCCTTAGAACAATCAACCATGGGAGATTGAAGGGGCAGCATTTGTACAGGGACATAGTTGAGAGGGTAAAGATGGATAAGAAAGGACACAGGGAGAACATTGCTATGCAGGGGAAGTGGGAAGAGAGTTGTTACATCATGAAGTTTGTAATCAATTCCATGAAATAAAATGTGTATGAACAGTTGAATGGGAAATGAATTTGCTCTGTAAATCATCACCCAAATCACAATAAAGGAATGTTATAAATTAATCAAGACTATTTGAAGTTTTTTCCTCTGCAGATGTTTTACTTTGCTTGATCAAACTAGTTCAACAAAAAGGGGCTATGTCACACTTGAGGAAAGGACTATAATTTTTCAAACATAGAATCATTGGACTAAATCAATATTTCTAGAAATTTTATGTAGAAGCAGATGGAATTTTCAGATTACTATTAAATCAGAATTGCATGAAGTCAAAATTAACTACATAGGACTGAGTAAACCAAAAAATAATTTATATTAAAGTTTATGTGACAATATTGCTGATGGTCAATGGTCTATTGTCTAGACAAACTTGGTTTATTTATTTATTTTTTATTTTAAGAGCTTGTTTTACATTCAACATAACGTGTACATTTAGTTTCATTCCCCATTTGCCATGACCAACCCTAACCCAGTCTCCTCTCCACCCTACCCTCCTCCTGTACTGCTCATATTTATTCACTCCTGTTTGTCCTGCATTTCCTCAGTTTGAATCTTGGTCCTCTGGTGTCCCATGGTCTATTGCTCTAAAGGATGTATTACCATAGAGTATGTGGGTGTGTCATCCTAGGTGGAGTTGTCTGAATGTACATCTTGTTAACTATTGGGCTGAGAGCCCACCCCTGGGGATAAGTTTTATTCCAGGCACAGAATGTATTCCAGGGCCACAGTATTGGGAGTCTCACCAGATTTCATCTGACCAGTAATTCTGGTCATTATTGATTTTTTGGATTTTGTTCCATGTTTTCCCTCCCACTCTATCCAGGATCTCCAGATTTGATCCTTTCCTGAATGGTTGGCATTGGTAGCCGGGCACTATCTAGTTCTTCTTATCTCGAGGGCCATTGTATACTAGGGCTGATTGCTTCTTAATGCCCTTTGTGTGTGTGTGTATGTTCTTCTTCACTTCTGATGCTAGGAGACAATTAGCTGCATCTTAGATGGCCTCTTGAAAGCTTTTAAGACCCCAGTTGCTACTCACCAATGTAGGATGTGGAGCAATGCTTTTATGTATTTTGTTGTTCCAATTGAGTCTGGTGTCCCCCAGTACTATGGTCCTGAGGTAGTAGATCTACTGGATTTCTCTCCCGTAGTGTCTAGTGGTCTGTGAGGGATTACTCTGTGTCTGTCTTCTACTGTTTTTTTAAAAACTGCAGGTATTTTGTACCACTGGTGTCTGTGCAAGATTAGCCTCAGCTGAATTTATCCTTGGTGTAGAGTATACTTGTGTTTACTGGCCCTCATCTGATCATCTCAGGTGTTTATGTATTTATCTGTATAGCCTAGTGTTTGGTGTTAGAAACTTGTTTTTTAACTGTCTTTTCTTTCCCTTATTAGTCCAGATCTGTATTTCAATAGTGTAATCACTTAACTTCTATTTTTGTACCTCAAGTAAGATTAGAAGATATAGAGCATTTCAAAATTATGATTATGTCCAAAGTTATATAAATGATTCTGTACACAGACTCCAAGAAATGAATACTGAAATGACTATAAGAGAAGTAATTCTTCGAAATCTAAAGGCTCTCCTTTATGTTACTTATACTGACAATCTTTTACATTCTAAAAGATATATTTCACAAGTTTAAAAAAAAACTTTGATAAGCAGAAACTAGAATCCAAAAATCTACTTAAGATCATCCCAGCAGAATATGTATATTGGAAAAACACACACACTGCCATTGAGTCAGATGCCACTCATAGCAACCCCTCCTTGGGTTTCCAAGGTGGTATCATTCCCGAAGTTGATTGCTCAATCTTCCTTCCAAGGAGTGGCTGGTGGGCTTGAACCACCAGCCTTCTGTTTATCAGTCTAATGTCTTAGGCCCTAGGCCACCAAGCTCCTGAATATTAGAAGAGACATCAATTAAAAGACTCATTGGAACCTCACTGGAAGAAAACCTACTTAGTCCTTCTCACTAACCCTTGTGCTGCAAATTACAGGAAGTTATAACTTGAATATATCCATCTCAATTAAAGAAATCTAAAGCCCCTGCCTGAATTGTTATCTACTGAAGGACTTAAACCAAAGTTCAAATACCCTTAAGGTCAGAAACAAAAAACTTTGAAAGTAGATGGCTACTCCTAAGATCACAGAAGAATATTTCATGCCAACTGATGGAATTTTTAAGCTTTGTTTCCTAATTATTTGTATTCTTATGATAATTTCTTTCTTTCATACTTACGGTAATTTTTCCTTCTTTTGATATCCTTTTTTTTCCCATGCAAATAACTGAAGAAGTTCTGCTTTATCATAACTATTATTTTTATGATATTTGCTTTATTATATTACTTTGTAGTTAGCATTTGTGGTAGTTAATATTATGTGTCAACTTGGCCGGGCCTGGTTTTGAGTAGCTGTGCAGCTGGATGTACCTATTACCCATAGTGAGACTTGTAATCACCGCCATGGTGCAATCTACTAGAGCAGCTGAGTAGCTGCCTTAGGGACATGGTCCGATTCTGGTATATAAGGAGAAGCTTTGTGTATAGTCTGCAGCTTTTGGCACATTTGAATCCTGCAGGTAGCCAAGTCATTGTTCAGCAGCCTCCCATGCTGTCTGCCTATCTTGAGACTCTTAATTCACTTGAATCAATGCCCTAGGATGTGGTTTGATAATATCAGAACTGTGTCTTTTTACTTGTTGACATTGGGTTTGTCAGCCTCAGCAGCCAGCAACTGCCTTAGTGAAGAAACCCTCCAACTGCAGTGGGTCAGGACAAAGGGGCAGAGCTGAAGCCCAAGGTCGAGGGGCTTTCACCCAGCCCATATAGAACTTGGCATTTTGAACTTGGTTCTTGCCTCCCAAACTGTAAGAGAATAAACTTCTATTTGTTAAAGCCACCCACCCAATTGTGGTATTTCCTGTTAGAGCAGCACAAAGTAACCAAAACAGTATTATTACACTAAGAATCCTTTCTTAAGTATTCTCTTACTGTATATTGTGACTCTGACTGATGCCTGGCATATTAATCTCTTTGTTAGATTAACTCAGTCAGTAGCCAGTGCCAGTAATCTGAATGACTGTTGAATTTGCCAACATATCCCTATATCTGGACATAGTTTTTCATATCCTTTAGCTATGTCTATATTTAACTGTACCTAGGTCTATTGTAAACCCTAATAGCCTTTAAATAGACTCTACATGTTGGGTTGTGGTACTCTCCTGATAACTGATGCCATCCAAATATGACTTTTCTTTCTTAGATATTTTTTAGCTGATTACTCAAAAGTATAGGATCTTGGCCTTGTTCTATTTTATAAATTATTTTAATTATACTCATTGCTACAATGGTTTGTATCATTAAATACTGGATAAGTGTATATCTAATCTATTCAAACAAGCTACTATTGCCATTCTAATGAAGAAAATCAAAGTCAAAACCAATTACTCACATGAATTTGGCCATCACCATAGGCTCAATCTCCTTCTCATACCAGGTGAAGTCTCTGATTTGGTACAGCTCTTTATGTTCCTATCCTACAATTTAACATCTCATAGTACCCAGCTATTTAGTTACAGTATCCAGGTTCTTAAATGTCTGCATAGACAGCAATCCATCCAACAAGAAAGGTGTTGCTGAAAAGGAGTTACTCCTTTGTGAGTGATGAGAAAATCTGAAATCCAACTCACCCTGAAGATGAGACTCCTAGCCCAACAAGGCAGAAGACTAGATATGATCAAGGCATCTGATTCTAATGAGATTCGTGATGAAAAGCAGGAAATGAATATGAGCTCCTCAAAATTATCAAAATTATTTGATAATTTGATAATTATCAAAATTATCCTCAAAATATGAGATAGTGGCTGGGCTAAGGTCTGGCTAAAACTCTTCTTTGAATCAGAGGTAACTTCTGCATCAAATATGCAGCCTATCAGTTCTATACCACTGTATACCAAGAGAAAATTATTTGGTACATAATCTTAGAGAAGAATGTGATTTTACTTGTTTAAGGGTTTTGTATGCTTAAAAATACACCATGATCACAAAACCAGGTTTAAAACAATTCTCACAAGAGAGACCTACTCAAGATAAACCTTACAATTAGACATATACTCCTTGAGGTTACACAAGGAGAGTGTCATAAGGTGAATGTACCCAATTTAATGATTACTTAGTAAAGTTAAAAAAAAAAAAGAAATGTATGTAATCTTCTACTAATATTTTGTACCTTTACCCAGTTTTGTAACCATTACCTAAATGTCAACAAATGACTGAATTTTTATTGAAGTTCCTTGTTTTTTCATATTATAAGTATTCCCGGAATGATCTCTTACTGTATCACTAAGCTCAGAATACTCTGGATCCTGTGTTCCTAATTCTTGATTTTTTTTCTATTCCTTCAATAAAACTCTTTGCTTTGATTTTAACAGAAATTTCAGTTTGCTCTTTTGCAAGTTTATTTCATGTAGTATACATATGCAACATAGAATAACCAGTCATGGAAAGAAATAGTCCTCTGCAGTCTTGAACACAGATTTCAGTTAGCTCTCTCTCACAAGTTTATTTCATGTAGTATACACATGCAACACAGAACAACCAATCATGGAAAGAAATAGTCCTCCCCAGTCTATATGCTTTGTGTTCAATATCTGCACTTTTGCATATGGCATTACATACTTACAGGTCTGAGTTGAACTTGGCACAGAGTAGATCCTGATCTCTGAATTTCCTTAAAAGCATGTGGACCAGGGCCATGTCATCACTCTTGCTACTGTACATGGAAAGACAAAGGAGTTAAAGAGGGGGTTGTTAGTGTGCTTCCACCTACAATATCAATAGGTGCCGTTCCCAAAAGGATTCAAGCAAATGATTTGTATTAACACAGATAAAGCTAATTTTTTGGTTTTTACATAACATTAAGAAATTTCTCATTTAGGGGCAAGATGGCAGACTAGGCAGAAAGACTGCACAGACCCTCTTCAACAAAGAAAAGGGAAACCAATTAACACAGACACAGAAGATAATCCTGGACCTCTGAGCCTTGAAGGG